TTGATAGAACCGTTCAGTATCAGTTTTATTATGATTGAAACTAAAATTATCTAATACAATACCTGCTATACTATATATGTTCTTCATTGTTTTACAGTTTCAATTTGTTCAATGCTTAGATACCCATACCTAATACAAATTTGAATAGTATTATTACAAAACATTTCATTTTAGTAAACAATATTATAATATTATTATGGATTAATGATTATACCACAGTTATTGTTTTCTTAATTAACTTTAGTGTCTTATCAAATTTATGTTCTACTAATATTTATTTTTGAAACGTAAAATATATTTAATCAATCTTTAAAAGATAATTAAAATTACAAAATATCCTATCGACTAAAATTGAACTAAGGGAAAACGCCATTGCAATAATAAATAATTTAATAACATCTGCATACTTAATTCTTAGTATTTTTTGACAATAAAATAAAGAAGGTCTTTTTTTAATAAAAATATATTATAACACCGTTGTCACGAATTTGATAAAAGCAAGATAATTAATTATAAGGTTCCAATTTATACCCAGCGAGATTTACAGTGGAAAAAATAAAATAACAATTGTAGTTTTGAAAATAACTGTAGAATAATCAGTGGCGTCTATCACGTATCTGAAAAGGTGCTCAAGCCAGTAGCGTATCTAGGATTTTTTCAAGGGGGGGGGGGGGATATAAAAATTTTGTAATGTGTAAAAATAATAATAATAATTAGTAGGTATCATAATCTAGTATAGTTTAATTTCTAAAATCTAAAACTACCTAATACAAACTCTAAAAACAACAACCGATTGGAACTTTTATTAATTATCATTGATCACGGACTTCAGTTAACTTACAACAGTCAACTATTCTGGGTATTGTGTTAATATTTAAGTTGAGTACCTTATTCTACCTAAATTAAAATGTATTTTTTTCGTGACGCGTGTTTACATTAATCTTTTAATTTGATCAAAATATGACTGGGTTGACAAAAAATAAATGGGTTGTGTGGCTAAAAATATTAAATTAACGCAAACTGCTCAAGAATCGAAAATAATTTCCGGTATGTTTAATAAACAGATAAAACTTGAGGTGATAACTAAGCAATAAAAAAAAAATATATTTTTATTTAAGATAATATTAATTTGTAAATATATTGTATACCAATATAAGAGTAATAGAGTATGGACAATAAGTGAGGAATCAGGTAAAATTGATTTATAGATAATGCAGTTGATATATTTTCAAAAAAAAGAAGATATCCTAATAAACTACTAATATTTTCGTTTATCAATATAAATATAGCCGTATAATAGTTTGCAGACATTTAACTGATATATGTATACAATTGTTTTTTTTTAAATGTCTGCTACCTTATATTTAAAAATTATGTTACCTAGTTAATAAAAATGGTACCATAGACAAATTTAAGCAGATAATATGTAGTTGTGAGCAGTTTTTTTTACCCATTCATCGGGCTGGTCAAAACCTTTGCCCCCTCTATTGAAAAACGAAATGATGCCACTGGTTGTATGATATTATTGAATTTAATACTATTCATTTTCGTTCATAGGTTAGGTTTTAGGTGAACTGTTCAATCTGCATACAACTATCAAATAATTGTTTTAATAAAATTAAAAAAATTAAAATAACCTTCCCGGGGGGGTGATATGACCCCCATATCCCCCCCGTAGATACGCCACTGGCTCAAGCACCCCTTTAATAATTGGGGTGGGTGGGTTGTAACTATTGGGTGGGTGGGTCTTTAAAATAAACTTTAAATGTTAGTAGGTTAAAAAGTTTTTTGTGAAATGAGTAATTTTTTAGGTTACCCGAAATACTGGTAGTAGTAATTACTAGTTCATTTTCAGTGAGCACCTGTTATATTTGTCGAGATGGCAGCCACTAAGAATAATTTAAGGCTAATGCCAACGAACGTTTTAACGAGTTATCAATTTTTAATTAGTAAACACTAAATACTAAACAGTAATGCGTTTTTAACTTCGAGCTCGTGTTGTAATTATTAATTAATTAATTCAACGTTAATTTCCACACACGAAAACCGTCTAATGAAATATTATAAACACTATATTATACTAATATAGTTGTAAGTTTAATATTATACATGGTATAAACACACGGCCGTTACAATAAACAGGATTAATATTATTATTATAGTATTAAGTTCACATACCTATTATAGACGGTATAAAATTATTATGCGTTTTTACGACTATTATATAGGCACTATACCTTGTGTCCTTTTTGTTCAAATAAATAATACGTCTTAAAAATTATTTGAATATCTCTTTGTTTTAATATTATCATCAATATTATAGTTACTGTCAATAAACTCCTTAGTGTATACATTTTTTTAATATTACTAGCTGATCCCGTGCACTTCGTTTCCCGTTAAATGTACCAACTCTATATGACTCAAACATTGTTCAATGCGTTATTTAATATTCAGTGTATGATGTTCTAGATTTATCTTAACTTTTCTGTTGCCCGGAATAAAAATTCTGTTTCGCAGCAGTATATTATCAGGTAGGCAATTTACCTGTGGTAGATCGCGGACCCCGTGCTGTTTGTACGTAAGTGTATGATTCAACTCAAAAAGTACCAAAGTTATACCAAGTTTGACGTTTTGACTTAATTCCACATACCTATAAATCCTAACCTGACCTCACCGTACTAAAATCCGATGAATAAAAAAAACCAAATTTAACCCTTTTTAAATTAGCGTATCTTCTTCCCATAGGTCTAATCTACACACCAATACACCATCATTCATTTATATATAAGATATATTGACAAAAATTAATAATACAAATCAATAAACATGCCTGATTAACCAATAGCAACCAATATAATATAATACACCATAGAGTAAATAAAGACAACGGTATCGAGTTCAAATCCCAGACATCAATAAATAGTTATTGCAGTTTTTCTAATTATTCAGTTGACTTTTTAAAAATTTTCCTTCGTAAAAACCTTCACCTATTAATTACGAACATCTTAAAAAAAAATTGAGACAAATCGGATTGATTGAAAAAGTTCATAGATAACATAAAACGATAATGTTTCAAAATAAAATGAATAATGTGCCAACTATTATATTTGTTTACTCTAAAGTTATAAGTGTCTATAATAAAAAATGTATATCAACCAGAGTATAAAAATATATTTTTTTTTCGATTTTTAATATTATTTATATTATATTTGTATTTATATTTTATCTGCTAGAGGGCGCCACCGGTGTAACTCAGTTTTTGTCTCTAAATCTCTAACTAACATGAGTTAGGTCCATAATTTATGCTATAAACCCGCTCACCGACATTCTCTATCATTTAAAAAAAATTTGAGCAAAATCGGTCAAGCCGTTCTCAACTGATGCTATTTCTAATTTTTTGTCTCCATTTTTATATATAAAGATGTTGTATTAATGTAATATGTCGTATACTCGGTTATCTGCTTTACTTAGTACCATATATACATATTTTCGAATTCTGCCCGTAGGACACAACTACACAAGACTACAAGAGTACGAGACTGAACTGTTGCACCATAAATTCAGATACCTAACTTCAATTTTTTTAAATCTCGTATATTACTATTGTATTGGGCAGTTCTAAAAATTATAATATCAATTTTATGCGCCCTATAAATAGGCGAATATCGCTGTTAATCCGAAAGCAGTAGGCAGGTTTATCGTTATCATATAGTCATATTGTAACAAAACAAATATTAATAGTGTCGTCATCGTCGTGTACGAGTTTCTCTGGATATAGCAGAAATATTGTAGAATCGTGAGTGTGGCGGCGGAGAGTTCATCGTCAGTATTCATTTAACGTTCGCAGAGACATAATTTCGCCCGCGAGTTATCTCCCAAAAATTTAATTACGACAAAAGAGTGTCTCGCGCCCCCACGGGACACCCTGCTAGGACGGAGAGGGTTTTGCGTGTCGTTTATTTAGTAGTATTCTGAGTATTCATCACGTGGAATGGTTCTAAAACCATATATTATTATAACACCGCAGCCGCCGTAAGAATCGGGGTCGAGTAACGCGGTTTTGACGAGTGAGGCTCGTCGTCGGTCTCTTGAAGACTGACTGAAAACGTACTACCTAATTATTATTATCTAATTATATAAAAATGGAGCCAAAAATGTATAACAATTCATCAATTGAGAACGGCTGGTCCGATTTGTCTCAAATTGTTTTTAAGATGTTCGTAATTGCCAGGTGAAGGTTTTTGCTGAAGAAAATTATTAAAAAGTCAACCGAATAATTAGAAAAACTGCAAAAACTATTTATTGATGTCTGGGATTTGAATTCGATACCGCTGTCTCTATTTACTCTATGGTGTATTATATTATATTGGTTGTTATTGGTTAATCGGCCATGTTTGTTGATTTGTATTATTATTTTTTGTCAATATATCTTATATATAAATTAATGATAGTGTGTAGCAGTGGCGTACACACGGGGGGGGGGGGTTTGGGTGTTCAAACCCCCCCCCTTTAGTATTTTTTCAGTTTACGTAATAACGTAAAAATGTATAATAAAAATGATGACAATTTAAAAAAATGTTATATTCCAAATTATACTCCATTATATTATAACTTATAAGCATGGGCGTAGTGAGTATGGGGCAGGGGTGGGCAAGTGCCCCCCCCCTGCACTACAAACTAAATTGTATTTCTTATATCACACGTGTAAGTTTTACGTTAAAATTGAAATATTAAATATGATATAAGTACATGAAGTCTAAAAATAGTTTAGTGGGACCGAGTGATATCTACACGTGTAATCGTTTTATATTTTATCGATTAGTCTATCTAAAGATTATTTGAATTATGAGTTAAACGCTAATCGTTATGTGCTTTATACATTAATATCAACAGCGATAGTGTCAACAATCAAGTGCAGCAGACAGCAGTACGTGCCGTTCTGTGTTCGCGTAAGTAACGAATATAATATATAACGTTTACATTTAATATTATTTTACACGATGGACATAAGAAAGTTTTTTGGTGGTAAGTACATATCTTGTTTTAGAATTATAAATAGTTACAAAGTAAAATAAATAAGTACAAAGTCTTTTACTTATATAATATATACACTATGTATTGTGACCGCCGCCTGCCGCAACTATGATATATTAAGAGGACGCTATACCCGCATGCGTTGTCTTCGTCTTACAAGCATACAATATAGCGAAAAACTGTTTTGCGCGGGACAAAACCACTCCCTTGGTATTTATAGTAGAATTACCAAAATTCCACAATACATAGGAAACAACTTTTTCTGTGTCATAGCGCATATTTTATGTTAATAATTTATTATTAATAAATTATCAACAACAAACAAATTTTTAATGCATTATTTCATAAGTCTTCGTAATTTTTAAGGTCGAGAAAAGAGAAAATTGCCAGAAATAAGTAGTAGCGGAAGTGATGAACATGAAGGAATATATAAAATTCCCAAATCCTCCAACGAACCTTCCACTTCTTATGATCGCAATACCAGAAATGCAGATCCTTCAACTTCTAAAAAGCTTACAAATGAAGAACGTTTTGAAAATGACATAGGTCAATGGGTGGGACGGTCTAATCATTTAACAACATCTCAAAAAATGGATATCTTGAAACGTTGTTGGACGCCACCAGAAAATTACAACTAGTTATAAGCAACCCAGTTTGTTGTTATAATATATTGTAGATATTATTGATAACTTGTTACAAATTGATGAAATTATTGGGAAATTTGTTCAAACACAAACATGAGGGTCGACAATCGTGTAATCCGATATAATATGCCTTAATAGCTATCTCAGTATCGCTAATACTATAGTATAGATATAGAATCTATTTCTCAGTTTTCAATCAAATTCCTGACTCTTTGGACGTTTAGTAAATTGTACTTACTGTTTAAATATATATAAAATATTTTATAAAACAATAAAAATGAAAAGAATAAACAAATATTTTTCTAACTCACTAATTTGTGATACAATTAACTCGGAGGAACCAGGTAAATATTTAATACATTATAATATTATATTATCAACCTGGGACCTAGGTACAAAAAAATGATTAATATGATAAAAATAAATTTCTTTTTATACCTATCTTTTATTAAATTGTATATAATATATTATTATATACATTTTGTATGTACGCTTGTAGCTTTGTAGTTAAAATAAATAAAATAATTACCTGTAGATAATAGGTATATATTTTTTAAGTAATAATCGAGTACCTATTGTAAAAATATTTTTAATTTCACCTTAAGTCATTGGCCATTGCTAATGAGATGATTACTCATTAATCATTATGTACAAAATAATTACTATAGGTAGGTACATCATTTTGATTTATCAATGTATAATATATATTATATATGTATAAAATTTTTTATATGTAAGCCCCCCCCATTGAAAATAGCTGTGTACGACACTGGTGTGTAGATTAGACCTATGGGAAGAAGATAAGCTAATTTAAAAAGGGTTAAATTTGGTTTTTTTTTATTCATCGGATTTTGGTACGGTTAGGTTAGGTTAGTAATTATAGGTAGGTGGAATTAAGTAAAAACGTCAAACTTGGTATAACTTTGGTACTTTTTGAGTTAAATCATACACTTACTTACAAACAGCACGGGGTCCGCGATCTACCGCAGGTAGATTGCCTACCTGATAATATACTGCTGCGAAATTTTTATTCCGGGCAACAGAAAAGTTAAGATAAATCTAGAACATCATACACCGAATATTAAATAACGCGTTGAACAATGTTTGAGGCGTATAGAGTTGGTACATTTAAGTCATTTAACGGGAAACGAAGTGCACGGGATCAGCTAGTTATATGTATAATATTATATACGCTTTACATAGCGACTAGGTCTCATATGTGTAATTTAGTGCTCTGCACGGTCCGTTATTTTAGGGACCGGACTGGACTTCAAATTTTAACAGAAGACCGAAGTCAGACTGTTTCATACTTAAAAGTAAACAGAGGACCAAAGTCAGACCGAACCCATAGTACATATTATTTTTAGACCGAACCGGACCAGTAATTTAATTAAATTTAATAAAGTAGACCGGGACCGGACTGCCAGTTCGATCTTAAAACATTCTAGACCGTTTATGGACCGGACCGTAGTAAGGTTCAGTTAGTAATGCCTAAATCTGATCACATGATTTATTTTGTATTGGACCGGACCGGACTATATGGATTAGTCTACACTCTGTACCTACTCTGAATCAATCTGGACTGTAGCAGTGTAGCAGAACGTAAAAAAGTACCTGATTTTTAACTAAGTTATTTTTTCTTAACTTGTAACATTTAAATAAAAATAAAAGTAAGAAACTCTAAACTTAACTTTCATATTTCTATATTAACTGAACTTCATAAGATAAAAATAATAGTTAACTTGCCCATACTTGTATATTAACCTAACCTAACGAAACCTAACTGGGATTTTAAATAAAAAAAAATATAAAAATTTTAAATTATTAAATCGAACCGTATATTTTGTACTGGCTAGTCGCTAGTGGCTACTACCTAGTGGAGAGTAGGTAGGTACCTAGTATATAGTATATTATTCTTATCGGAAATCGACGTCGCGTCGTCGTAATTTCGGGAAAAAATAAATATCCACGTCCGGCACTAAAAATAAAACAGATAGCTTACAATAAATTTCATAACGTTATCCCATGGTTAACGTTATCGCCTGTTAAAATAATGAACAATCAAAGTGAATCAATCCTATTTAGATTGTAAGTACTGTGATCGGGACCGAACTGAGACCGTACTAAATTCAGACCAAGCTGAGACCGGACCGAACCAATTTAAAATTTATTTTTGAAACCGAACCGGACTGAAAATAAAGCATGTGCAAGCAACGTGTTCTTGTAAAATACCATCTTGATCGAGCATAATATAAAAACTGAAAAATAAGTTTAAACGAGTTCCCTAAAAACTTTTTTTTTTTAGTAAAATATACAGGAGGTTATATTTTTAGCAATTGTTTGACAGCAGAAACCATTGTTATATTTGAGTCAATTGGATACCTACTTCATAATAATTTTAAATTCATACTTTTTAATTGAAAAAGGGTTCTCCCTCGCCCATCGCGTGCGTCGCTATATTTTCAAGCATGACATTTCAAAAATATTTGTATACACATATTTCTGTGACCAGTATTGATATAGGTACTATGACTAAAAAATAAATATTTCAAGTTCACGTCATAATACAGTGTTTGGTAGGTATGTTCATGTGTCTGCATATATACCATCGGTCATCACAACTATAGGTTAGGTAGGTAGTTTTGTTTTTGTGCAATGTATGAGTAATGTTTGATCGGTTACTGCATTACAAGATTGATATGTATGGGAAATAAAGTTTATTTTGTTATTCATAAGCAGTGTTCTAAGTTTATTAACCACAGTAAGTCACGACAATAGCTTCAATTATTATGAATATTTTTATTTCGAATTTTACTCAAACTGAACTATTTCGGCACGTTTTAACAAGAAATATATTTCTTATATAGTACTATTATAAAAGCACGGTTTGGGGTGACTTTTTTTATGAGCAAACCTTAAATAAGGCTAGTTTATTATACAGACACGTGTCATATAAATAAAAATAATAATGTATATTATGTATGTATATATATTTTTCAGACTAATAGTTGAATAAAATATATTTTTTTAACGACATTCTTGATAATCTCGATCTCTTCAAGCAGACCACACACTCTTTCATCTATAAAACTGCATCAAAGTAAGTCTGGCCAATTGCCAGGTGTGTGCGTTTTCCCACGTCCCTTAGTTTCGGGAAAGCCGTGTTTTTGGTACATTTAGCAATTTTTCGTTATGTGCAAATGGATATTCAATTGAAAAAAGAAAAAAGAAAAATGGATACCTAATACCTATATATTTTCGTCGAGCCAAATAACCGTTTTACTGAAAGACGTGGAAATATTGTCCCCCTCATTTCTCATCGAGCGTTCATAGTGAATAGTGCGTATAGGGTGATTCGCCGAGCATACGAAAGTATACTAGTGCCTTTTTTATCCTTACATAATTAATTATGCGTTTATATACAAATCCTGCAGATTTTTGGAAAATCAAAACGGCCAAAAACGTTTCTGAAAAGCAATCTGAAATACGTAAAAACAAATAATTTGAGGGGGTATAAAATTTAGAGACGAGAGTGCTTGACGAATTGCCGTGTATAATGTATATACAAACCTATTGTGCACCGTATAAAATTATAATATAATCACGACGGTTGTATTATACTCTAATATTCTATTATATTTTCCCCGCAGATGTTGCCGACAAACAAGTGAGATTAGATATTATAGAGTTCGTGTCGGGCACTATAGAACAGACGGCAGCTCTAGTAACGGGTGCGCTGTATGAGTTAGCCAAAACATTCAAAATCACCTCAGAGAGCACTTGGACGGCGTGCTAGACGAGCATCAGGAACAATAGTCACAATCGACCAATTGGATCGGTTACCGTGCTTGGAAAACGTGTTAAAAGGTGAGCGAGATAATAATCGTGTGGTATATACAGCTGTATTTGGCACCTATATAATTATAATATACAGACACTGTAAATATTTGATTGAGTCAGGCCGACGTTATTGGGGGCGATGCGCCCACGGCAGTTATTAAAATATAATATTTCGTATTGTTACCCAAACGAATATAGCTAGTTAAACGAATTATAAATTTTTACTTTTAAGGGACATGATAAATTACAGAACAGTATCTACTTATATTTCCATTATAAATAAAAATGTGTTATTGCTGTAATAATATGCTAACTGCGAATAACATAGATTGTAAGAATTATAAAGCTCTTACAAGTTTTTAAAATACAATACAACTTTAAACGTAATCAAGTTTTGGTTTTTCCGAACAGTTCGATTTAATGCGTTAAAACAGTATCAATCTCAAAACTGGAAGATTAAATAAATGAAAACACCAAATAAATTCGAACTGTCCGATTTCGTGAGTAATTTAATTTGGGTTAGGTTAGGTTAAGTTAGGTTAGATGATAAAATTATTATTAGCGAAGCGAGTGTATAAAAAAGTTAAGAATAATATATTATTAGATTCGATCGAGTTAGGACGTTAAAAATGGAAAAAGAATAAAAGCTTTGACGCATAAAATAGTTTAGATATTTTTATCTATTATTTTTATAACGAAGCTCTCGTCCGATCTTGTTTAGTGAACGGCAAATCCGAGATAAAGCATATTCGGAAAACCCTAATATGATATAACGTGAAAATATCGATATTATTATCACGCCTACTTAGTGTTTGAAAATTTCATGAAATTTAAAAAAATGAAATATTTCAAAATGTGTGAAATATTTCAGTGTTTTAATAAATTTTGTTTTATTTTTAAATAAGTTTTATATTTACATATAATTGTCATAAATTACCTTCATAACTTTATGGTACCTGTATGTACCTAACCTTTGGTAACCTAACCATCTTTCAACTACCAACAAAAATGTATTTAAAATGTCGTCGACGATAAGCCATTTCCTGGGAAAATAACCAGTTTTTGCTATAAATAGTCGAAAATAAGACCTAATATAGTAATATGTCAACCGTAGCACTCGTATTTTATTAATGTCAATGATTATACCTAGAACT